AACAGAAGCAATATACTTGTCATAGCTGCTTGTTAATCTATTTCTATGCAAACATGTCTATTAATCACACCAATATTTTTTATAGAACTTGGCACTGACGATACGTTTTTATTGCTTATAGTACATATATGGCAACCGACCGAATTAAGTCATTATGACAAAAATCTAAACATTCCGGCAAAAATAAGTTTTTCTTATAACCAACTGTTTATACCGTGCGCCTATTGAAAATGGGGTAAATAGTATATTTGTATTGTGGTTTAAATCTGTATAGCCCATCTGCATGAACGTGTGGATTATAGAAAGGATTTTGGCTTATATTGGCAAATGCCAAGGATTTCAGTTTCACAAGTCTCTTGTCTTTTGGGGTTTACAGCCGGAGTGACCTTGATCTTTTTAAGGATGCCAATAAAAATTGGGGAGCCAAGCATTCATAAATGCAAAAAGCAAATTGTATACATTAAGGTAGCAACACCACTGCTAGTAACTTATATTTTTGTAATTTCCTATGACTTTCATGTTGTTCACGCAATAGTTTTAAAACAGATGACCAGCAATTATATACCGAAATAATGGGCTGGACCGATTCGGTCGAAATATACATATATAAGCTTCTAATAGAATGAGCTAATGAGCTACTTTAACCCCCAATCATGGTAACTAAAGGCATCATAGATAATACTGCTATATTTGATAGATAATGCTTGATGAAGTGAATACTTATGTCTTTTTATACCCTGAACCCATTAAAAATTGGTATAAGGGTATATTGTATTTGTGCAAAATCCAAATGTATGTAACAGGCAGAAGGAAGCATCTCCGACCCCATAAGGTATATATATTCTTGATCAGCATCAATAGCCGAGGTGATCTAGCAATGTCCGTCTGTTTGTCTGTCCGTCTGTCTGTATGTATGAACGCAAGGATCTCAGCACCTATAAGAGCTAGAGACTTGAAATTTTAGATGTAGGTGCTCCTAGTGCCCGCGCAGATCGAGTTTGTTTCCGATAATCGATAACTTACTCCGTTTCCAAGCAATCGATAACCTGTTTTTGGGCAATTTTGGTAAATAACAAGAGCTGGAGTCACCAAACATGACATATAACTTCTAAAATAGAATATATATATATATATATATATATATATATTTGATGTTTGAAGAGGAGGATTCAGGGTATCCCCTAGTCGGGAGCTCCCGACTAGAACCTCTTACTTGTTTTACTTATTTTATTTTAAATTTATTTATAAATTGTGTTTATATTGGCCAAGCATAACTACATGCATACACATTTGTTTACTTGTTCATATAATAGTCGTAATACTACGGACATAGATACAAGTATTGGGATATTATAGTGTGCATATGCAGATTCTAGATAGATCCATAATATATGTATGTAAATATGTACACACATACATAAAGCGACAGTTGGAACAGTGCACACGACTCATCGATATTTTGGAAGATGGAAATTTGATCGCTTTCCTCTCTGTCGGCACTAATTTCTAATGGAAAAAAATTCCCACAGAAAATTTGAATGTGTTGCTCGTTTATTTTTAGTCTTTAATAGTCACCGTTTGTGTATATATATATATATATATATATATATATATATATATGTATGTAGGTATGTATGAAGGTATGTATGAATGTATGTATGTATGTATATATTTATACATATGTGTGCATACATGCATGTCGTATGCATGCATGAATATAAGATCTATATTATTGTGTTTGCTTGAAAATGAGCATCTGTACATACTTACGTATGTACAACCTATTTGATGAGTTAGTAACCACACGTATCCTATTATCACTGGTGTGTACGTATGTATGAATATATTTCTATAGATGTAAGCATGTATGCGAGATATTTTTCTACGGGTACTCTCCTATGTACTTGTTAAATTCATCTTTTTGTGTATACATGCATGAGTATGCATGTGCACACAAACATACATTCTTGTATGAGTGTTAAGAAAATAGTGTATGGTATATACATATACACAAAGTAGATATTTATGAACATCCACATTCACATTTTAAATACGGTTCATGATAGAAGCAATATATGTTTGTACATGTGCTTGTACAAATACATACATACATCTATGCATACTCATTGGTATCCGATTTTCTATGCCTTTAGCACTGGCAAAGTAATTTTTCATGGGTGTTATATGCATACAGATACAGAAACATGTGTGGGAATCAGCTTAACACGTCTATGCATAAATAAATGTTGCTTTTTTATTATTTATATTTTTATAAAACGCTGCAAGTGTATGCAAACATACATACGATAGTAATATGTAATGTACACAAGCGTAACGATTGATATTTTTGTTTCAAATCACTGTGGGATATTAATTCAAGTGAGCCATTTCTATTTTTATACCCGACAACCGTTACACAATTCCACGAATAGTCTCAGCTATATGCATGAAGTATGTACATACACATATGTAGGAATATACACACATTTATATTTAGACATACTACATATGAATTTAAGAATTTATAATGTGCTTTTTCCATTTGTTTAATTGCAGACTTCACATTTCTGGCGTTTATGATAACCATTGCAATGATTATTCCTTGTTGATAAATATACATATGTATATCTACATATATATATATATATATATATACATATGTATGTATATATACATATACGTATATAATCTTATTAGAAATATTTCAATTGAATTTTATTCACTTTCACTTTACATAACAAAACTGATCCATATTTGAGTATTTACTTATGTATACACATACATATATAGTGCAATTAGATGGGTACGTACAACTAGACTACAGACTAACACAGTGCAGCCCACAGCAAGAAAATTATCCTTCTGCGGAAACGAAGCGAACTCCACGAGTGTTGATCTATTACTGTTTCTTATGAACTGATCTCTAGGAGAATAAGCATAAGTGCAGACATCAGACATTATTTTGCCATTCTAGCTTTCGTCATCAATTCACTTCCCTCTCTCTATCTCACGCTCTTCCTCTCTCTCTCTCTCTCTCTTGTTCTCTTCATTGATGTTATTTCTCATTTTTGTGGAATTTGTTGCGCTTTGAAGCTTTTCTATACGAGCACGACATAACCTAATGATTCTTAAGAAAATTGAAACAAATAACATTAAAATAATTCAGCAGCAGTTCTGCAACATATTTTAAAAATGGCTAGAACCTAAGTTAAGCCGCACATAAAATTTAAGTTTTGCGAAATTCAAGTATTTAATATTTCATTGACCTCAAATTCATTTTTAAAATCTTTGTTCAAATTCATTAAGGAGGTGATTCACACTTTTCTGGAAAATCCATTCAAACAACTCTAAATCAAATATGTAGCTGGAAACTAACTAAATTAGCAACACTACTTACCGAGTAGACCGCTTCCACCAGTGGAACAGAGTGATATTAATAAATTTATACATATACGTACATATGTACCTAAATGTGCACGTGTCTGTGTATTCATGCCCATACACATATAACCGGCATTACTTATATGTATATATACATATGTATAAATATATTTCTATATATATGGTTGTGTTTATCTACTTTGTGTACCTCACCAATGCAAAGGCGTTTATTTTTAATAACACTAGTTAATTATTTATGAAGAGAAAATGTTATATTTATAGTCACCTACATACATATTTATGCATCTAAAAATATGTGTACAAGCCGTGCATCTATTAAATACTAGAGCACTGCTCTTAAAATTGTTCTCTTAATTTCACACGAAGTACAGGCACCTAATTTTATATACTCGCTTTCTTTTAAATAAGAAGAGCCATTTGTGTACCCTTACCCATTGAAAATGTGTAAGAGAGTATAATGGTTTGGTCTTGTAAAGAGAGTATAAAAAAACACAGGCAAATGGAATTTCAATTGGAATAAAACTGTATGTCGTGCTTTGTGTATGTGCTGTCATGTTGGCTCAGTATTTTTTCTCATTCAAACCAAATTCTTGATATGCCAGTGAGGTATGAGGTATTGGCAAAGTTGATTAGAGTTGCGAGTTCCGAGTCGTCCGACACAGCGAGGGTCCCTGATTTTTTTTTATTTTTTAAATCTAAAGCAGGATATCCTCCAGTCAGGCACTCCCAAAAGGAGTCTTGTTCATACTTATTTCTAACTAAATCAGTCAAAGAGTGCTTTTGTACTTTTCTCCAGTAAAACTATATTTCTTTCAGATGACATAATCTACATGTTGACATTCAGATTTAATTCGAGAGAGGTTAGTCGAGACTTCGAAACTTCGCCTATATAAATTGATATTAATTTAGAAGAACAAACGAATTGAGGGTTGAGTATGATAAAGCAATGTACTTATCTTCTACAAGTAGTATTGTATACTGTTCTTTGTAATAATACTAATATATTCAATAAACATACTTATCCCACATAAAGAAAAACAGGGGTTATAAAGCGAACACATCCATAAACCTTCAAAATTTGTGCACGTGATTTACCCCTGCGTACTTGAGAACACTCTGTTAGCAACCACTTTGTAAAATTGTTTATTTTGAATGATTCATTGAGCTAAGTCCTATATTACAAATGTCTTAATGACCCTCTCTAGGCACAGTACTGAGTACACTGGGAGCAACTTCATTAAAATGTTTGTTGAACTTAACTTTAACAAGGACCCTTATGCATGCAACTAAATTGAAAATTGAATTGAAGGCTTATTTTACTGTAATCATCTGCAGCAGTATAGCTGCTTAAAAATGACTCTTTGAAAACATATATATATACAAGAGTTATGTATCCATACAGACATTTACACATTTGGGTCTCAACGTTAACATTGATATTGGTATTTCAAACAAGCCTCGCTTTTTCTCGAAATACGCCACAAATCGTTTGTGACTCTGGTATTTTGGCATAATGAGGAGATATTAATAGATATATGAGCGACAGAAAAATACTTCACAGCTACCCAAAAATAAAAGAAATAAGGAAGCACAGGAGATAAAGCTTCGTTTTTGTTATTCACATTATATTTAGCATGCGACCTTTAAATCCTTTTTAATTGTTTAATTATTGCGTAAAATGTTTCAATAGAAAACAAAATGAACAATTGGTACTGAATAACTCCCATTAGCTCCCAGGTAACTCTGACTTAATTTCATATTGTTTTTGGCTTCGTCAGTTAATAGGTATTGGGTCTAAGATACTTCCTAATGTGTTCCTTTTCTATGCATTTGTGGAACGTAATAAAATGAAATTCCAGACTAATGGGAATATATCTAAAGTATTTTTATTAAGTTTATGGCTAGTTTTATTTGTGTTCAAGGGCCTTAAAGCTTAGAGGTAAATGTTTTTTCACTTTGTTATATTTTACAAATAAAACTAATTTTAATTTTTTTTTTTTTTGCTCAAATTTATATTATTCAATCACACCAATTACTGATGATTGGTGGAATCCTTGGGCGGAAATATACATATGCACTTTTCTACAACCTTCATGCTTAAATCAGTGATGTAAAGTATTTATTGAAAGATATGTAAATTCGATTTTTGGGTCTCCGAAGTGCTGGCTTGATATGAAAGATTCGGTTGAGTACTTTTTTGAGGCATGAAAGCTGTTTTTTTTTTTTTTAAATTAGTTTTCCACTGTAAATCCACTGTACTTGCACTTAAGCCCAAGGCGAGTAAAAGCAAGACGCAAAAAACTGCTGTTTTCCCGATCCATGCGAATTAATGGCAGCAGCGGGATTGGCACCTCCAGAGGATGCCACGCCACTGGCCGCTGCAGCATAGTTATAGCTCATGTGTGCGTAGGAAGGCATAGCAGGTGAAATACTCTCGCTCCCAAATCCCGAACCATGACCCACCCCATGAACTGAGCCGCCACTATTCATTAGACTTGGACTACAAGTAGCTTGGCGAGCCTCCATGCTGTGATGATGGCCAGAGGGAATATGATTCGCAGCTGTGCTCGCTGGTGGCGGGGGCGGCAAACTGTAAGCCGAAAGAGATTCGTATCCGGTTGCATTGTTGCTGGCCACAGTTCCGGACGCAGCATGTGGATTGGATTGGAGTGGACTGCTGCTGACGCCAGCACTGTCATTTGTGGCACTTCCCACACCAACAAGCTGATGTGGTGGTATTGGCGGAGGCCGCAGAGGCATGTGGCACGGATACATGGATGGCGGTGTCAGATCTCTTTGTTGCATAACTGGCGAAGGAGGTGCCAACGAACCCACTGTTGGATGGCCGAAGTTTGGTATCGAGGACACAGATCTAATCAAATGCAAGAACCGAATTAATGCATTAGCATATAATATAACATATTAGTTAACTTACCCGTAACCTTCACTCATTGATATCGCATTGTGGTGCATATTCGAATACATTGCGCTCATCGAACTGCTGAAGCCACTGTTGAAGTTGAGGCGCGGTGAAATGGACGGGACGAGTGTGTGAGGAGGAACGTGATGATGGTGCTGATGCCGTTGGTCAGCAATTCCTAGCCCTGGTGAACATGCATTGCCTATGTCATGCGTTCCAGATCGAATATGAGCACCTCCTGAGGCTGTGTGGTGTGCATCCGTAGTTTCAGACCCGCCAGTTGGCGTTGCTATTGGATTCGGCGATGCTAAGCCATTCAGTCCACCTACAAGTCAAATATAATAGGAAAATTAAAAAATTCGATTAAAATATATAACTTTAAGCGTATCCCCGAGGTTACGTAAGTTCGAGACTCCCAACTAGGTATGGGTAGACACAGATCCTAAATTAACAAACTGTCCTTTTTTTTTTGTTTTTAATGCATTCCCTCGTTTCCCACATAATTGTGAAATTTCACTTTTATTTACAACGCAGTCAGTATAATATTGTGGTTTATATACAGACAGACGAACTTGAACTTAATCGACTCAGCTTGTCGACCTAATCAACAACACATAAGCTCCATGGCCCATTTCATTGGGTACAGGGTATAATAAAACTGATGAGTTATAACCTAAGTTTGGGTACAAAACTTACTTCCTGCAGAGCCGGCCAATAGTGAAGAGCAACCGCCTAGGCTATTGGGACTGTCAGTTAAAGATGTTGTTGCCGAGGTCGACGATGATGTTCCATTTGTGCCAGTTGAGTTTGGCGTTCGCCGCTGATTTCGTAATTTCTCTTCACGACGCCACTTGGCTCGTCGGTTCGAAAACCAGACTTGAATCCTTGCCTCGGGCAAACCTATCTTTCCAGCCAATCGTTCGCGGGCAAAGACGTCCGGATAATGTGTTCTTTCAAACTCTAAGAACATTAAAGGATATATGATATTAACGTCAAAGCTTCATCGATGGAAAATGCGGATTTAATATTTTGTAGGCGAAGTTTTATGTTTAATCTGATTGATAAGAACATAATGAATAAGTGTTCCGGCTTTTTTTTAATTTTACCCGCATCTGTGGTAAATTGGCGGGACCTTTGGATCGGCTTCAAATTTATTTTCAAAGATCTTTGTGAAATTTATTTAATACGTTTTTCACTTAATCCACTTTTGATCACTTATTCAATAGTTGATTTCCAAATATCTATGTACAAAATATGACTAGATGTTAAGCTCAAGATAGTTCGTATAGATTTATTTTGTTTGCGGTCGGAATGTGGGTGAAAAATATATATCTCAAATTTGAAGCAGTAAACTTGCCGCTAACACGGCCGGGAAACACCCGCTAGAATATATCATATATAATTGAAACGGCTCAGTAATGGCAAATGTGCTCTTCCATTAGAACACTCTGCACCAGGTCTTACCTTTAACATTAATATTAAAATATATATACCTTTTTCTAGACTGTCAATCTGGTCATTTGTAAATGATGTTCGGTTCCTTTGCAATTTTCTTTTTAAAATTAATCTAGCCTGATCATCTTCACTCGTTCCTATGTTGGAGGCACCACCATTTGAGTTATCTCCTTCGCCTGAACCAGTTTCGTCTGATTGGTGTCCATCGAGCTCTAAAATTCAATCATCGTATTAATAAAAGTATTTCATTTTAAGTAAGAACTTTGTAGTGTAACGTGCTAGACTACAAAATTCCTCCTTTGATAATACAATACTTTGTAACTCAAAATGTAAATGCCAAAATGCAGGGAAGTTTTTGATTTAATAGTGAAATATTACTTCAGATCATACAGTTTAAAGTGGTATTTAAGAAAAGTGTCTTATTCTTATCTATTTGTTGAATACGTTGTATTACTATGATTTAAAATATGTTAAAAACAGATTAAATGTTTGCACTGCTATTTAATATTTAAGATAGATATCCTTATACTTCATGCACAATTTTTGCACTTTTAAAAATTGACATCGATTGGACAATAAACACAGAATATTTTTGAGTCTTAAGCATGCATATGTTTCATTTACATATATACTGAATGTACATAACACCTGTGATATGTATAATGTGCATAATGCATTTATAACCAGTAATGAATCGACTGCAAATCAGAGAATTAATACGACACGAAGTCCTGCTTCAAACCACATCCACATCTAAGAGACCGCTGGCCGCAACATTTGGATCTCAGCTTGTCACTTTTGATATACCAAAGGTGTGTGTGTGTGTGTGTGTGCGTGTGTTTGTGTAACTGGCACTGAATGTGAGTGAATGTGACAGAGCAAATAGATGCTGATAGCTCTGAGACATGCCGCAGGTCCGGACTTAGGTCCAGTCCAGAGCACACGTCACTTGCCTAGCAAACTGCAATGTGCTGACAGGCAACAACAGCAACAATAACGAAAATCAGCCATAAACAACAACAAAACCCAGAGCAAGGGGAATGAGGCATTAAGATAGCCATAAGAGCAACAAAGCCTCGAAAGCAGAAGATACGACGGTTGGGCGAGGAGTTGGATGGCAGGGGAGGTCGCGACAGAGCAACAGAGCGACACTCTTTCACAGTTAAATACGTTAGAGACAAACGAGATAAGGCCCAAAATGTGTAGGATGAGGTTTTTCAGATACCGATTTTATAAATATATATTTTTGCTTTCTATTTATGCACCCCATCAACACATCTCCCCCTCTAACCATATCACCGCCCGCACTCCCTCAACCACTGTCACCGCCGCCACCCCCACGGGTTTGGCGTTTAATGAAGTGTCATCGCCTGTAAAATGAGTCTGCAAATCGCATTAAAGCAACTACTCGGTTAAGGGTAAACTTGTCAAGCACGACAGCAATTCCCGTTGCGCTGCCGCTACCGTTGCCGTTGCCGTTGCCGTTGCCGTTGCCGTTGCCAGAGGCTGCGGATTATACGGGGCTACAGTTACAGTTACTTCTTCTGACACACCCAAACAGTTAAGGCAAACACGCGGTTGAACTTTGGGCACAGATTTTGTTTTCAAAACTTAGGCGTATGTCGTTAAACTAATTAGATATTTGGTAAATGTCTGCGAAGGTAAAACATTGGTAAGCATTTAAACTACCTATTTATCAAATTTTTATACCCTGCACCTAATGGCAAATAGTGCCTGATTAGCTGATATCCAAAGCCGAGCGGTCATCAGAAACATTCCAAGGATATATTCATACATACATTTACAGAACTATTTAGAATACTTTTTGGATCAGTGTATACTATGCGCGAAACTGCCAAGCAAACTTGATGCATGCTTTTATGCTTATTATATTCCACTTGCGCTCAAATCCTAACCGGTTCTTAAATTAAAACTTTAAATTTAAACTCTACAATATCCCATTTCATGCATGGCGAAAATCCGGCTTCAATGCTTCTAGCCTAGCTATCCCCGCCTCCACCCCATAGTTATAATCAAATAAATAAATAAATTGGAACTACCCACCAATTCGCATTTGGTATTGGTAGAAGAAGGTTTAAGCTATCCCCTAGTGGGGCACTCCTGACTAGAGCACTCTTACTTGTATTTCTTAAATATTAATATAGATGTCAGTGACGTGCTTATCACATGTGTTGCCTTAACTCATATAAAATAAAACAAGTAAGAGTTTCTAGTCGGGAGCTCCCTACTAGGGGATACCCTGAACCCTCTTCCTTCAACATCAAATGCATATATATATATTTTATTTTAGAAGCTATATGTCAAGTTTGGTGACTCTAGCTCTTATCATTTACCAAAATTGCCAAACAAAAACAGGATATCGATATCGATTTTTATCGATTGCTTGGAAACGGAGTAAGTTATCGATTATCGGAAATAAACTCGATCTACGCAGGAACTAGGAGCACCTACATCTAAAATTTCAATTCTCTAGCTCTTAAAGGTTGTGAGATCCTTGCGTTCATACATACGGACAGACGGACATGGCTAGATCGACTCGGCTATTGGTGCTGATCTAGAATATATATATATTTATGGGGTCGGAGATGCTTCCATCTGCCTGTTACATACATTTGGATTTTGTACAAATACAATATACCCTTATACCAAAGACAATATAAACACAGTGTTTATATTGTCTTTGCCTATACCCATTTTTAATGGGTTCAGGGTATAAAAATTAAAAACCCGGAGTTCAATACCGATCTATATCGATTTTAAACTGTACCAGTTTTTTTTTAAGTAAAGCAAATTCGTACTGTACGAAAAGTAGGAGAACCTATATTTAAGTCCTTAATTCTTATAGGATCCTGGATCGTCGCGTTCAAGCAAGATCGAATCGGATATTGATGCTAACTAAAAGTATACGCACTTAATGCGTTCCTTGTGCTTCCACAAATGTAGTCAACAAATGTACCACAAATGTAGTCAAATCAATTATTCCCTTTTTACCCATTTTCAATTAGAAGGTAATCGGCTGGAAAAAATGCTTTTATCCAACAGTTTTCCAGAAATTTACAAAAGTTTAAAAATTGTCTTCATTTACTTTTCATAGAAAGTTTGGAAAAGATGTTTAAATTCGATCGGACTTTGACTTACATTTTCCACCTAGACAGGTTTGATTTCCGGAAAAATGAATCAAATGAATTTGATGAACGAAACCAAATTTCTTTACAACATCTTGTAATTCATGGCAATTCACCGCCAGCCGAAAGGCATTATTGTCAAAAAGGCTTTTAATGATTTCATTATAGCTCTAAGCCCTGAGATAGATGCGCTCGTAAGAGCTACACATAGACCGTAGGATATCAATAGATGCACTGAATTTTGAATGTAGATCAACAATTTAAATCATTATGGGCTTGTAGATGCCTCTTACAGTCTTCTAAATATATTTCTACTTTTTCCAATTGTACGAGAACAGGGTACTGATCTCTTTATGTAGATCAAAATTTGAATCATTATGGGTTTGTAGATACCTCTTACACACTTTAAAAAATATATTGCAACAAATCAATATACTCGTTTTTCCCATTCTACGAGTACAGGAAATATTTATAAGAGCAGCCTTCGCCATGAATCAATTTTGCCCAATATACGCACGATTGACTTAGAATATCTTTTGGATGTCGCTTATGTTAATGCTCGCTAGCGATTTTTACATGCTTGCCTCACCGATATGGCTAACCTTTCTCCTCAGCACTGTGATTGTGTTTTATGTTTCAGTCTGTATCGCCGACAATTCGATAAGGGCAAACCTGGTGTGCGTGCGTAAATAGAACAGGCACGTGACACAGAGTCCAGGGCTTGATTGGCTTTGCCAGACTGTCTGTTCTGTTGTCTCTATTCGAAGTTAAATGCGACCTTCCCCTAAACTTAGAGATATTGCGTAGTGAATGTAGACTACCAGCTCACTCATGTATGTACATACATCTCTATATAAAACTATTTGTCCTGACTGACTGATTGGTGCTCAATGCACAGCCCAAACCGTAAGAGCTAGAAAGCTACATTTTCTCTGTAGTTAATTTATGTGATGAAGGTGCACGTTTAGACGGTTTCGGAAAACTCCACCCGCAAGTATGAAAAAATCGCGAGAAACGTTTGTATAAAACTTTTTTGTTTACCATCCGATCTATTTAATAAAATTCTTTGTTTAAATTCGTTTGAGGGGTGTTTCACACGTTTCCAAAAATGTATTCTTCTTTGGTGGAAATGGGAACCAAATTGATGGATGACGTTTCGCCCTCAAATTCATCTTCAAGGATATATGTATATGGAAAATCATTCGAGACGTGTTTCACATTTTTCGCAAAATCTAAACGCCCTCGGTAGAAACGCGATTCAAATATTTTTTTGGGCGAAGTGTTAAGTGTTGTTCGATTTGCTTCAAACTTATTTTCCAATCGCTATATAGGAACTTAATGAATACATGTTTCAGCGATTTGGGAAATTCTACCCGCAACAGTGGTAAATTGGAGGAAAACATTTGTATGAAAGTTGTTTGATTACCGTCCGATCAGTTTCAAAATCATATTCAACGTTTTTTGAGAACTTTCATTTTATACATGCCACGGACAAGGCCGGGCTATACCCGCATATAAAATAAATACAGTTTTCTCAAAACAATTCCCAGTCTCAATTAGAATATATTGCTCTATTCTCTTACTTTTGGCCTGCATGTTACATTGACAGCAACATCTACGGATCTGCAGGGTATTACCTATCTAGTCTAGAACATTATTATCTAATAAACTATCTATCTTCAGTGTCTATCAAGGCTTCCAATACAAATTTAATATATTTAATAAATATCATTTAGTTTACCATACAATATTTTATATTAGCAAGTATTCGACAAATAAAAAGATCGCACTTCACCCTATATGTAAGAAACTTCCTTTGATATTATCAGAATATATTATATGATTGGGGGTCTTACTTACCCTTTTTGAGCATTACATCGTCTGCGGAATTGGTGCAGTTGCCCAAACGAGCGCTTGGGCCCCCAATATTGATGAGATCACTTGGTGGAGTCAACGGATGTCCCGGAACCAGACCTGAAGCAGCGGTCAGGCCACCGTTTCCATAGCCGGTCACAGAGATGACACCTGGAGACGAAACCAATTCGCTGCCATTCAGAGGAGCTGCATACCAGGACCCAGTGGGGTAATGTCGAGTGGGCCAACTCTGCTGCTGTTGATGCCCATGGCCATGGGTGTGGATCGGGTGGCTCGAATGGGAGTGCGGACTGAAGTTGCTGGGCACACTCGTCATGAGCTGCCCGTGAGTGACTGGAGGCGCCCCTGTGGTTGATATAGCCGAATCCAGCGTCGAGGCTTGTTGAGTGTTCAGCATGCGTATCTTCTCATAAATCGACTCCTGCTCGCTGCCCTCGCCAGAATTGCTGGCACCTCCACTCTCCGATGAGTTCAAAGGTGTCGCAGTTTGTATCAGATCGTTTGTGGAGCTCGGCCCCACCCCATTCGCTCCACTTACGCTGTTACCATTACTACTACTATTACCATTATTGCTACTGCCATTGCCGCTAGCTGCTGCATGGCTTGGGTTTGGGTTTGGATTGGGATTGGGATTGGAGCTGCTTGTTCCAGTATTTTGCTGCTCCTTTTGTGCTGCTAAGTTCCTCAGTACTCTGTTTATTGACGATACCTTAAAGCATACAAATCACCAACAATCCAAAAAGGTTAGATATGAATTATATTTTATAGTAGTTATTTCGTGCGTTTCTCCACAAAATTAAAATATTTATTACAATTCAATATACAGAGGTAAGTGAGCTACTGCTCAATTAATGTTCTTTTCAGGGTATGTGATTGAATGCCTGGCTTAGGTAGGGAATGTATAAAATGCTGTAAAAGTACTTTTTGCTAGGGCAAGTGGAACCTGGTTAAAAGATAGTTCCTAGTCGTGTTGTTATGTCCAGAAGCCATTGAAAATGTGTATAAATTCGATATTGACAATAGGAAGCATCGCCGAGCACATTAAGTACATATATTGTTGGTCAGCATCATTAACCGAGTCTTCCTCTGTTAGTCTGTCTGAACTATAAGGGCTTGAGTTTTTAAATTTTGAACGTAGGTCCTCATAGTGCAGATGGAGTTTTCAACGACAACTTTCCATCAAAATCGATGAAATTTTCGTATGTAGACTCTCGTATAATATAGTTTTTGGATACCTCTCCCTGTTGTCCCTAAAATTTGGTAATAAATGGTCTTTGGCATTTAAGCACATGATGATGCCATACATATGGACTTCAAAATTCGGCAAGATCGGAAGCTAAATCATTTTCGATAGTATGGGTCGTAAGCTGGGTATTTTTGGCTTTGTGTAGAAGGAAGCTAGAATGTTTGTGCAGCAGCTCCGCGCGGGGAATCTCCTATTCGGGCATTTCCGACTAGAGCAAGCTTACTTGTTTATTATTATTTTAAGGCAGTGCCTGCGCATGACAGCGCTTTTGAAATGAATTCAAAAGGCAACAGCAAAAGCAAAAGCAAAATCGTACGAAAGAAAGAACAAACGCTCAAAACATATAAATGAGCGAGTGAGAACAACAGGGAAAAGTGCAGTTGAGTGGAAAAATTAGGCAGAAATGTCCTTTCGGGGGAACGAAAGCGAATGCTTGTATAAAAACTTATTTTTGAAAAAATAAAAATGAACGCCATCCCCGAAAGCATCGCATATATATATATATATAAATATAAATATATATATAATATATGTACCCTTCATATATACCTATATATGCGTTCAAATATCCTTACTACGGCAGGTATACATATGTAAATGTACATAACTTGTTATGTACATAAGGGATTGAGTTCAAGTTTCATATATGTTTACCTAACAGAGGATCCTCACACATAAAATGTGCATATATGTTGGCTAACATTATTTGGTGACTTGTAGCGCTTAAAAAAATCAAAGTACATATTAATTAAACTGGCCCGAATTTATTAAATAAATTTTATTAAGAGCAACAAAAGGTTTAATTTGAACGAATGCATCATAGAAAATACAAATTCTTTAAAGACATTATGAACATTCTTTCGCCAAAAATTGATAAAAATGCCTGTATGACAGGGCTTACAAATTCTATAATTCTTTTGTGAGGTTTCAATTAGCTAAAAAAATTGTCTTTAAGTTAAACTCTCCCTTTGAAAATACAAACGGATAACGAAAAAAAATGTTAACTATTTGCTGGGTTACATGGAAACCTGTACGTTTAATAACAGCATTTATTTTAATAAATAACTTGTGAGCCGTTATTTTTTCGAATCGACATAGTTGTTATTAATAAAACAAAACTTCAATCTTTGTTTTTGTACTTTCTGGCGCCGGCCTTATACTGTCCTCCTTCGCGGGCATATAGTTAAGCTCCAGGACTCTCGGAACAAATTAGAGCATGCGGCAACATGCAGCATGTAACTGGCAAACACTACGCTTTCACCCCTCAATGATTTTGTTACGAGCCGGGTTCCGGATCCTGGTCCCTTCCAAGCGGTCGATTCAGTTTCTGTTTCTATTGCCAGCATAAAAGGAAAAATGTGATTTCCCCTCTCGCGTGAATTTCAACGCCTAACGCTTTGCGGTGACGGGCTGGGCTGTATTTATTTAATATTGTACGTTTTCATACTTTTTCTAGCACTGATTTCCCTTTTTGTCGCTTAATGTGCATAAAAGATTTTCCCTTCCATTTGAATGAGCACATTTTCCACACAACTGTCAATGAGGAAAAGTACAACGCAGGCCATCGGCATCGCTGTCACAATTCATTTTGCTCCTTTGCTTCTTTCCTTTTTGGCATACTTAATAAACAATAAAAAAATGGTAATGCTAACTAGATGTAAGAAAGGCAAAAAAATGGCGTCAAGAATATAAAAGAAAAGTTCAAATAGCGGAGAAAATGGCATATAATAATGTGATGCTTAAATTATTAAAAAAATACTCGAAATTTGGCATCAATTTTGGCTAAAGTCTTAAAGCACTTTCATACGTCAATGAGAAAGATAAAGTCAAAATATAACAATAAGACAGGATAAAATAAATTAAACTATAATAAGTTTTGATTGATTAGCCTACGGGAAATCTTAAAAACATTTGTTTTTATACTATGAACCTATCGTATAATTGTTTAATGGTATAATGGGTTTTTGCAAATCCATCTAACAGACCGACGGAGGCTTGTCCGACCCCAGATGAAGTATATATATTCTTGATACGTCTGCATAAATTCTTTGAAATTAAAAATATATACATTCGCGCGTACCAAATGCAAAGCTTCAGTTTTCCCAGATATCGAATAAATACGGTTTTAAGGCATTATTTTTTTTACACGTTACACAAATAGTATAACAGCTAGATAGACCATATTTGATGTTTAAGTATACAATAATATTATGAATCTAGATTTCATATATATGCACATAACACCCGAAGATAAACTTACACTTGGTATGTTGTCATTTGTGCACACGCTCTCCTGCAATAATCTATCTCTGATTTCCCAGGCAAATATGCTGGGGCATTCCCGTTTGTATTGCGAGATTTTGCTAACGACCTCTGCGGTGGCTACTCGTGGCTTAGAGCCTCCAATCGCACGTGGTCGAATACTTCCTGTTTCGTAATATCTGGAATTAATTGTAAGCAAAACATTTATGCAATTAAAAATTTCTTAAATACTTAATTAATAATATATATCACTAACATGTTAAATGTGAACAATTAGTTACCTAACAGCTTACCAGCAGCCTGTCGAAGCTACAACCCAAATCGTTCTACCCCTTTCCACAATCGTATTACCCTCCAGGCCAAAAAATGCATTCGGATATATATAGACGAGTCTACGCTAGAGAACTAGATGGGAAGCGGACTCCTTGCCTCATTTAACTACTTCTGTAAAAGCTATCGCGTTGAGGAAGGGGTAGAGACAGCGTCTCAGCTACTCTGTGCTCTCCCAATTTGTAAAACTAGATTCCGTTTTCTTGTTATCTATTTGCTTTTGGACCCAAGCAAAGGTCCAAAAGAATTCTAGGCTTAATCCGTACCTCGGAGTGGAGCTAAGTTCCCAATAAAATCCCCAAAACACAATGGACCAATCATAGTCCAAATGAGTCCGGCAAACTTCCCTCGCCTAGTGCACTTTCCCAAACTTGCAAAAGCTTAAGATCCTTAATTCATCCTTAGGCTTAGATTTTTGTATATACACATATATATGTAAGTAAACAATCCCCACCAGCCCAAATTATATTTATATCTCGCAATATATGGAGTTAGTGAAAGGCATGTATACGGTACTCACCTGCCTAAAATTTTACTAACACATCCATTGGAAACTTGAAGGATCCGAGAAATATCACATGGTCGAGCTCCGGAGTGAGCAAGCTCAACGATTTTCTGGCGAGTCGAGTCAGGTAATGGTCTTCCTCCAACAAAGACTCCACCCAATTGATTTACCCCGCTGTGACCTGAAATGTTCAATGTAGATATTGTATTGTAAATCAACCGATATACTGATTTGTATACAGTTTAAGTTGTTGAATGTTCCCGACTAAGGGATACCGTGTACCTACTACATGTATGTATTCATACCTATGTAGGCTGGCTTTGCTGACAGTTTCTTTACTTAACTCTTTTAAATAGTGTATTCTGCTGCATTGCATTTAAATATGTGCGTGTACTGAAACTTAAGCAAACATAAAATAAGTAAGAGGTTCTAGTCGGGAGCTCCCAACTAGGGGTACCCTGAACCCTCTTCCTGCAACATCAAATGCATATATATATATTCTGCTTTAGAAGCTATATGTCAAGTTTGGTGACCCTAGCTCTTATTATTTACCAAATTAGCCCAAAAACAGAATATTGATATTGATATCGATATTTTTATCGATTGCTTGGAAACGGAGTAAGTTATCGATTATCGGAAACAAACTCGATCTGCGTAGGCACTAGGAGCACCTACATCTAAAATTTCAATTTTCTAGCTCTTATACGTTCTGAGGTCCTTGCGTTCATACATACGGACAGACGGACAGACAGACAGACAGACAGACGGACATGGCTAGATCGACTTGGTGCAGATCAAGAATATATATACTTTATGGGGTCGGAGATGCTTCCTTCTGCCTGTTACATACATTTGGATTTTGCACAAATACAATATACCCTTATACCCATTTTTAATGGGTTCAGGGTATAAAAAAAGTTCCTTTTGCAGGGTTCGTATTTGCAATTGACCGTATTACTTGCTGATGACTCTACTCAACAATAAAAATAGCTTCCCAGGTAGGCCTCGAGCTCGCGACATACCTCAACGCTTGCTATGCCCCTACTCAACAGCCACACCAATACAAAGTATTATAGAGAAAAAAACCAACTTAAATAGCATTACACAAAAAAGTCGCAATTACAATGTTTTACCGATCTTAATGAAATGTTCTACACTATATCTTATTGTGCCATATAATATTTGTGTATTCTCAAAAAGACAATTGCATTAAAATTGTGGCTAAGATTGGTTGGCAATATAAGTTGGGTTCTTAACTTGATTTATAGATCTGCGGTGTTAGCGGGGAGGTGTCAATAGGTATAAAATCAACATATCAAGTTTGGTGACTCTAACTCTTAATATTTACCCAATTTACTAAAAAAACAGAATGTCGAATGGACGGACAGGGAGACGGACATAGCTAGATCGACCCGGCTATTGATGCAGATCAAGAATATATATACTTTAGGAGTTGGAGATGCTCTCTTCTGCCTGTTGCACATATTAACATTTGCACAAAAGCATGATACCCCTTTTACCCATTTTTAATGGGTTCAGGGTAAAAAAAAAAACTGAAATATATCTAAATATGGAGTCCTCTGTAAGAAAATTTCTTATTGACAATGAGATTACCCTAAAAATATATACTGTAATATGTATTCATATAAATATATATATATATATTTAAAAATAATATGTTTCCCACCTGCTTGCCACTTAAAGTCAAATTTAGTTTCTACACGATTTACTTTCCATTGGACAAAAATTAGTTTTGGCACGCTCTTAAAGTGTCAAGATGAATACGGTCTTTTGGGCACTGAGTACTTTTGTTTGGTAACAACCCAGTTTGGTTGTTTGAGATTGAAGAGCTCTATCTATTAGACAAGGCACAGATAAGAACTGAAACAAACGCGGAAATGATACATAACAAAAAAGAAGATAATGAAATC